TTTTAACAGTGTTTTGATACAACTCAACATTTACCCAACTTAGTCTGGTAATGTGATTTCATAAATCAAGTACAAAAATATGGTTATTATAATACATTTAAAAACATGTGCACCTGGACTTTTAGACCTCTGTGTACCCTTTAAATTTTAATGTTCAAATACTGTTTTCTGTATAGAAATGAAATACGTGCTAACAAGTAATTTGTTCATTCTCTTAACTGTTTTTGAAAATGTAAATGAAATTTTTTGTACTTTAGGAAGGAAACTAATAATAATACTTCGAAGTAATTTTGAAAATTAGACTTCATCAGTTAGGAAACAACTGAGTTTCTGAACAAATTTTGTGTGATTATAATCATTAACCTCTGAGTTCTTACTATTACAACTATACAAAAACAACTGATAATAAACCAACACTATTTTATTTTTATCTCATTACTTTCTTTTTTTTTTACTATTACAACTTTTAATGATTACCACAAAACAATGACATTTTATACATTTACCATTCACATACCATTTTCTTGAAGCAAAATATAGATGCTTAGACATGACTACAGATGAGTAGCTATTAGTTTTATTTTAAGAAATAAGTCTAATTTTAGTAATTACACTTATTTTTGTTATTCATTTGAGCACTATAAGAATGTAGTTGAAATTTCAGTATTTTAAATGAATCTCTACATAGTTGATGAATTAAGAAATGGTTTGTACTTCTGCTTGAACGTGTAAATACTTCAATAAATGTACCTGTATTATCTTACTTCACTGAATTTTCTGAATTTTTATTTTTAGAGCTCAAAACAAATTTGTTTTTCACAAGACTTGATAATTTTGGGTAATTATTGCTAGCTTCATGCCTCACAAACATAGCTGACTCAAGAAATAAAAATTTAATGTATGAGCTATTCTATGGTTCTCATATTTGGTTTATTTTAACTTTTTTTTATTAATCTTTGCACATTTTTCAATGCTTTTTTCAGAAATAAAATTGTTGGAAGCTTGCATGTGAGAATTTTATGTAATTAATGTGAAAAATGTTAGGGCAGATCAGAGTCTGTAACAAAAGTAATTCTTTGGTCTTTTGTTTGACACTTTAACCCCTAATCTAGTATAATTTTTATTAATCATATTGGCAATAAATTTTAGAAAAAAAAGCCCTCTACTCTTCACATAATGATTAAAAAGTAAAACTTATTTCACCCCACACTGGTCACCAACACTTATCTTCTCAACACTAGAAATTGAGCATTGAAATCCACTGGAAAACCCCATAAGCTCTATATCTTTACTAGTGCATACTAAACAAACTCCTCCTGCAGATAAAACAAGTCATGCTATATATGAAAGTCAGTGTCCCTGCTCAAGCACTTGTGTAGAAGAAACAAATAGGCAGTGCCAGACTCATGAAGACACCTAACTCTGTATCAAAGCTGGCCTTGCCCGTAGGTCACACAATTCATTGGGTCAACTACGGGTTTCTTGACCAAGAAGAGTTGGGAAAACACATTAAAATTGAAGAAGCCTCATATATACAAACATAACCAAATATGAACAGATACACGGGTTTAGAAGTTAGCAACCCTTTTTATCCCATTCTTAACTAATGGCTTTACCACTAAGTCTCAACCTACAGATGTTTATTCAAGAAGCACTTGTAGACAAAAGCTCTGCTTCACAATCACACTAGGTATCCCTCAGTGATAATCTGTAACTAATCATTCTCTCAGTTTGTTTCACTTTATTGTAATGTCATAATGCTATCATTTTGGCCCACATTATTATGATGTCATCATCAAGTTCTCATTGTGGTATATGTCAGTATGACATAAGTGTTAACCATCTTGATAAAAGCAGACCTTTAGACGGGTAATCGAAATAACTCAAAACATCATTGTCCACTAACTTTCATCCTTAAGATTTAAAGCTTCCAAAGTTGAAGTCTATAATAAACCTTCACTCACTAAATAGTTTAGCTGTGGAAAATCTGAACATATTAATTATCAGTTCAATTTTTAATTGCATAATATATTAAAGTAGTGATTCTTCAAGGATTATTATGGATTTTAACTTGTGCTATACTTTATTTAGATTATAATTATTAGAATAGCATTGTGTTCTATTTTATAAGCTACAGTAGCGAACATTCAATGATGCTTAAGCATATAAAGGCATGTACTAATTCAGTATATTGATTCCTTTAGTTAATAGTAGTTTACTTTGAATTTCAACACACACACACAAGACATAAAATTCTATCTTCAGTTTAACTATTTTGTATGCTTAAATGATGAAATAAATGATCATTTTACTGTTTGGCTCTGAGTTTGTTAATATTAATGTTCTTAGATCATTCAAGAAATTGCTCAATCAATTCAAAACACAGATGGAGTTGACCTTTTGGATACAGATTGTAGTCCGTCAACCAATCGCACAGTTTATACTTTTGTTGGTTCTCCAGATGATGTTATTGAAGGAGCTCTCAATGCAGCAAGAACTGCTTATAAGCACATTGATATGACAAAACATAAAGGTAAGAAACAGAAGTGAGTCAGAATTTTTATCTTGACTCTCCAGATGTTACTGAAGGAATTTTCAATGCAACTAGAACTGTATAACTTATAAGCATGTTGACATGACAAAACATGAAGGTAAGGAAACAGAAGTGAGTCAGCATTTTTATCTTGACTCTACAGATGTTACTGAAGGAGTTTTCAATGGAACTAGGACTATCTATAACTTATAAGCATGTTGACATGACAAAACATGAAAGTTGAGTGAGCATATTTTTCTTCTACTTGTAGTACAAAGAAGCAACAAGATTCAGCATGAAAGATGTTTTATTAAGATAACACATACAAGTGTTTGGATATAAAAAAACAGGACTTTTTTTATTGCATATTCTTAGGTGATTAATATAATTTGATTTGTCAGGCTCATTAATATATTGTATTCAACTAATTAATTGTTCCGACATAAGTCTAGGATAGCTGGAATAATTGAAATATTGATAATCAGAAATGCTAATTTTGATCAGTTGATTATTTTCGTGAATTGTGGCACTAACGGGTTAAGCTGAACAACCTTGAGTTAATCAAAAATGATAATGAGAAACCATAATGGCAATATGCCAATTACTTGGATAATTGGAATAATTAGAATTTCATTTAATTTACTATTTTCATGACACTTGTTGATTTAACTGTAATTTTAATTGATCAGTTATTTTATGTGACTCCAATCGAGTTGATTGATAAACTCTATAGGGCTGCAATATTTTGTTTGATCACCACTATTGCTGAAATTAGGTAGCTCTAAGGAATAGTTGAACATTTTGTTATTTATTTATTAGAAATTCATCTGTGAAATATTTATACTTAATAATGAATATATATATATATATAACTGTTAATCCAAGATTTGTGATTATATTAGTGTTATTAATGATGTTTTGTTCCACGTTGCATAATCCTCTTAAGTTATAGAGTGCCTTAGCTGGTGAGACGTTGTAATACGAGTGATGATGGTTTAAATTGTATTACTCTTTACTGTCTTAGTCTTGGCCAGTAAAGAAGTATTGGATTTAAATGATTATTGGTTTAATTTTGATGGTGGATAATTCTGTATATTCATGACGTGTGAATCCTTACTATTTATATATGGGTATATGATGTTTTAATATTTGTCCGTGATACCTGAATTGTTAATTTTGTGAAGCTATTTATTCATGGCGTGTTAAATTATACACGAAGTTGTTTACATGCTTCAATATAAATTCTGTGAAACAACTGTTAAATTGTATAAAGTAGCTAAAAATATAAGTGGTTATTTCCCTTGTCACTGCTCAATCAGTTGTTTTCTCTCTGTTAAACCAGGTTTCCTGGAATTGTGGATGAGAAATTTTGTAGGGAAGGCAAAAGTGGGTTTTAAATGTTCATAAAAAAAAACATCTAATTCTATATTAAAGTTTAGGGAAAACAATATTGTACAATACATTTTGACTGTCAAAGGTTCATAATGCCTTATCAAACTAAGATTCAAACCCTTAGGTCATCATCAGCAGGTTGAAATATTACTTGTTTTGTTAAAAGTTTTAAATATCATTTATCTCTACTATATGTATATTTACTACAAGTGGGTTCCTCATCATCATTGAGTAAGATTCAAACGTTCAGTAGTACTAATTTGCATCATTTGCTACCATAACTACCAATTTATATTTGATTCAAAACCATTTTATTGTACAGGTACTCCATATAAATGAAATAAAACATTCACGTGTAGTTTAAAAATGCATTATGTAGAACAATAATCATGTTTTAAGTAAAAATAAGAAAAGCACATTGTTTGCGTATGTGTTTTTTGATGATATTTACGATACTCGTAGCTACATACGGAAACTTGCATTGCAAGATCACTCTAGTGTAACCAGTTAAAAGATCTGCAGTTGGCTTAAGTAAACTACTCTTTATTTAAAAGTCATCATTCAAAGCAGGTTAAAAGTCGTAGTCTCCTTAGCATGAAATTGTTGATTAATAAAATATGCATAACAACAAATAAACAGGAAAATAGAACAGTGTAATACTAACAGCTTGATTAGGAAATAAATACAGACCTTTCAACTTTAACAAAGTTGTAAGAGAGAGAGTATGTTATTATTAGTCACAATGTTTTTCTTCAAGAACATTGTTGATTAATTAAACTTGTGTCTTGTAGAGGGGGAAAGGCGTAAGGTTACACCAGTGCACTTTTTCAAACAAGAAAATTATTATTGTTAATGTTTCTCATACTTATTCTACCATAACAGGTCGCTTATGCTTTGTTGAAGCAATACAGTTGCTGGACATTCCTCCCCTCACATTTTGATGGAGTGTGTATTTTTGTTTGTTTTGTTATATAACTTTTGTTTAAGTAATGGGCATTATACAAATTAACGGATACAATTTTTCCATATGAATGACATTTATTGTGTGATTATTACTCAAACATCTTTAAACAGTTTCTGTTAACAAGAGAAAAAAATCTGAAACTGCTTGAATTCTCCTGATGGTTAGTGAACAAATCTTAAAACACATCCCTACATTCTTGACATTTAAATTTTCTTCACCTCATAATACAGTTATTTACAATTGGCCATCACTTCAAACTTACGATGAACTATGATAATTTCTGTCATAATACAATTTTAATTCAAAGAAGATTTTTAAAAGTAAAAAGATTGTTGACTCATTATTACTTAACATAAATATTGTTGCTGTGTATTGTACCATGTTTCACTAGAAACAGAGTTCCAGCTAATTCAGTGCCTAATATCTAGAAAATTATCAAATAAACTATGGACACTGTATTATCTTTTCAAGAACATAAGCTGGCTGTAATGAATCTGAAAATACCTTACCAAATTCCCTTCAAGCTCAGAGTAAAAAAAAGTTAAAAATCTCTAGGGGAACAAGGAAAAGAATGTGAATTTAAGAAAATCACTGAAAGAAAGCAAGAAGAGAAAATATTTGTGCACTAATTAGAGATTTTTAAAAACTTGAAAGTTTAGAGCTCTGCATTGAAAAACCAAATTGTAGAAATTGCTCTAAGGTGTTTGTTATTCAGATTTACAGACTACTAACAAAAATAAATTAATTATGCACAATTTTCAGCCCAACTTGAAGAATAAAAGTTGTAGAATATATAAATTTCTGAAAATGACAGCCCATGTATTTTGGTAGCCTAGAATTAGGGCAGTTAAAGGAAGGTTGTGGCAATCAACCACAGTTACCAGGCTTTCTTAGTTTCCAGTCGACATGACCACTTTGTGATTTGTATAACGGAATTAACCTTAAAAAGTTCTAATTGTATTAGACAAATTTCCTTTATCCTGTGAAATAGACATGGGTTATTACTAATTAATACCTATGACCATTGCAAGAAGTTAATGAGTTTGTTAAATACATTTGGAGTGATGACTTGAAACAGAGAAGTACAAATTGAAACTATTAATATCAGTTTCTACTTGCTTAGAAAAATCTTTAAACTCCATTATAAATGACTTGGCAATACTTACATTTAATTAATTAATGGTTAAGTGCAGTTATGTCATCACCAGTAGAAAAATGTCATGTTCTTATTGTCACCTTAATCAGTGTCGTTAACTAGACATTAAATAAATGTTATGTTTCTTGCAGTAATCAGAATTTTACTTTCATGCTTTTGCTGACAATTTTACTTCGCCTTTAAAACAGTCACATTAATTGCAAAAATTACAGTATTAAGAAAACTTGTGTTTTTGTGCCAAAATATATTCATTAAAGATGAACTTTCATGTGCCACTGTACCTTAAAATCTATTACACAGAGCTTAGAAACCACTGAATTAATAGTAGATTATAATAATAAATGAATAATTAAATGAAAATAGTAATTATAACAGAATTAAAATAGTAATAAAATCTTGCTTCATAAGTTCTGTCTAGTCAACTAAATTTTTTTCTATCCTGGGCTTATATGAATCTAACTAAAATTTGGATAGAATTCTGAGTTTAACATAACATATAACTGTTTTAATTAATCAGCTAAGTGCCTTTAGTCATTGAGATTTTTGCTTTTCATACTCATTGTTAGTACTTCTTCCTGTGTTAGTTGTAGAATTTATTTCAAACTGTTAGGCTTTTTAGTTCTAAACCAAAAGTAGATTGGTTATTCTTTTATTCACTGTTTTGTGAGGTTAAAATATCTTAAAACTCTCTCATACATGCGTGTGGGAATTGTTACCAAAAAAGTAATTATTGGAATGTTAGTTGGCCTTAATAAAACATGTATAGTACATTTGTAGACATTTTGTTTGAAAAATCACCTTATTGATAGATACTTTGGCTTTAATAAAACATGTATAGTACATTTGTAGACATTTTGTTTGAAAAATCACATTATTGATAGAAACTTTGGCCTTAATAAAACATTTATGGTACATTTGTAGACATTTTGTTTGAAAAAATCACCTTATTGATAGAAACTTTGGCCTTAATAAAACATGTATGGTACATTTGTAGACATTTTGTTTTAAAAATCACTTATTGATAGATACTTTGGCCTTAATAAAACATGTATAGTACATTTGTAGACATTTTGTTTGAAAAATCACCTTATTGATAAATAATTTGATTCCTGGTCACCAAGAATCCTACTTCTTTTTATCAAGTTTGAAAAAGAAATTGTTTGATGTAATTTCAGGAGAACATCCTCGAATTGGAGCACTAGATGTCTGTCCTTTTATTCCAGTTCAGGGTGTGGAAATGGAAGAATGTATCTACTGTGCTAGGAAGTTTGGAGAGAAACTGGCTGCGGAGTTGAATGTTCCAGGTAAAATGGTGTAAAAGTTTCTTTATATATTTCTCTATGTGTTTTAAACTTTCCTATATAAAAACATATTTGTCAATAAAAATTAATCTAGTTATTCTGGTAAGTAAAGTTGATCAATGAATTAGACATTGTTTTCACCTAATCATCTTTTGCATAAGAAAGTCCAGTTGAAACTCAACTATTAATAACACCAAAATTATGACTTGTTTCCACAAACAGAAACACTACATAAGTTTAAGCTGAAGAAAGTTCAAGCCTTTCCTGACTAATTTATATATAAATACAAGTTTTCCAAACAGCTTATTGATTTGGTACAGCAGATTTAATAGTTATGTATATATATATATATATGTGTGTGTGTGTGTGTGTGTGTGTGTGTGTGATTGGCTCAAAATTTAGGGTACAAAGTACATGGTATTATTGCAATGATGACATATTACAAGTGAACAAAACATTCTGTTTGCAAACAGAAACTGGATATTATAATAATTTATATCTTTTCATCCCAAATGAAGGGCAATTCCTATTGTAAGTTTGTTGTGGTATGAAACAAAAAAGTTTCATCATTGAAGGTTATATTTATGTATATATTAATAAAATTCTTACAGGCCTCCCAGTTGAAGCATATTAAAAACGTTTATTTTCTCTGTCATATATACTTCCTTTATTTTGTTGAAAATTGGCACCCAAAAAATTTGAAAAACCTATATTTTTTTCCACCAAAAATGTTGCTGCAAGTTTAATTTTCATTAGTGTAGTCATGATATTACCATAGTTATCCAGTATAGAGCCATGGAAATATAACAGTTTTGCAGCATTTTCTATTCGGAGTAATAATTGAGAACTTGTGTGGTAAAATCTCTTTCATTATAAACAAAGTAATGGATTTCTTTATGGAAATTATATAGACGGATATAGAAAACCTATGTATGTATACCTAACTATATATTTTTGTTTCTGAACTATTTGCTCCTCATACATTTTAGGAATGATAGGAATCTTTAGAAAAAAAAACTTTATTTTTGCACTGGACCACTAGGAGGCCTGTGTTTATTTTTACAAAAAAGCGTAACTTTTGCGTATGGTCTAAAGGTGAAACAAAACTAGAACAAAAAATAATTATTGTTGTATATCTAGATGTTGCAGTGGTAACACTAAGAGTGATCGTGGTGTTGTTCTGCTGTAGTGTTTCTCTATGGCTTTGCTGCTCAGCATGAACACAGAAAGACTGTATCTCAGATACGAGTAGGGGAATATGAAGGAATAAACGAAAAGGTGACTTATTTAGGTATCTCTTACGAGTTGTGTATAATTTTTTTATATAGTTTGTGTTCAATTCTATGTAATAGTTGTGATACTTATGGCCTCTGGTTATTAAGCTTTAGCCAAATAAAATATAAGCTTTCTTGTCAATTTGAATGTTAATGTCCAACAATTACTAAATATTTCTGTATTAAAAACATTATGGTGAAAAATGTCAAACTTTTCTCTATTCATATTTATATTTGCTCTTTACACTTTTTCACTAAGGCTATTAACACTTTTAATAAAGATAGCAAAAAATGTCTGTAATTTATAAGGAGTTTATCCAAGCAAACTTCCCATTTACAAATCTCATTTCACTAGAAAAGGATTAACAAGTTGCATAATTTTACCATTCTCTGATCTTTAATTGACAACTTAACAACAAAACAATTGGTTAGAGACAAAAAGTTACTTTAGAAAATTATTATTGGTGTAATGTCCATTTTTTACTATAAGTTTAGCTGGCCTCGTATATGAATCTGTAGCTTTATTTGAAGGTTCTGTGTTACTTAAAAAGTGAATTAATTTTTAAACTGTGATGAGCTGAGTGTAATAAAGTTTATAGCTTTTTTAATTAAGATAAAAATTTTTCTATTTACACTTGCACTTGTATCTTAATGTATTAAGTGGTCAGTCTTCTGATCAACATTTGAACTTACTGACCATGAAACTCCTGACATACCTGAGTTTTGTAATTGTGGTAATTGTTCTTAGCTGCTCAATGATTTACTTCTTTATATATTTTCGTTCCATAAGATAGCTACACAACACCAGATAATATACAAATACGAAAAACAATTATAACTAGGTCTGAGTTGTTTCGGTCTTATTCATCAAAAAGGTTTTACTTGGCATCATTAACCAGTTTGTAGCTTGTTTTCCTATGTGAACAAGTGTTTATTCTACTAGTGCAGGATCTGCTCAGGTCAATGCACACAAGTTTAGACAGAGTTTGTTGGAAGACAAGTGCATGTGTGAGAGAGACCTGTTACTTGAAATTTAAAAGCAGTGCTTAATTTCTGTAAGAAAAAAAAAGGAGCTGGATCCTTGTTGAAAGGTGGAGGTTTGAGTTTTAGAAGATAAGAACTTAAATATTATTGATGTTACTACTTTGAGTGAGGCTGAGAGGATAAATGCAGCTGTGAGTTGGCAACCCAATCAAGACAGTGTTAAAATTAATTATACTTTCCACCTTCAAATTAAAAACATTCCAAATGGGTTCCAGATCTCTGATCCAGAGAGATACGGTAGAAATTAAGCATTGCATAAAAATGGTGAACAGGAATATAGAAATAAATGTAAAGAGATAAAAAGGAAAAGAAATTTTTAGACTAATATTTCACATTCAATTGAAGTTTGTTTGAATCCACAAACTTTCAAACACTTTCAATTGTTCTTCATCGGAAGAATATCAAATTCCACTGAGAGAATGTTTTTGAAAGAAAGACCTGAATTTACAATCTTTTCTTGACTTTATACATAAAGTTGGAAAATATAAATGAACAACATTTATATAATGCACCTAACTTTAATTAAAAGATAAAATTAGTAAAAATTGACTCTTATGTGTTTGAGCTTGTCGAAATTTAAGCTTAATGCTAAAGTTTCAATAAATCAAATATGTAAACTTGGTTTTTATTTGTTTTGAATTTTAATGAAACTTCTATGCACTTTTAAATGTTTTTGTGATTGTTTAATAATGGAATAATTCTATAAATAGGAGATGAGAATATGTAACAATATAATTATGAATGAAAGAACAACAATAACAGTGCTATATATCTAAAAATAGTGGGTGGTGTTGATTAGCTACCTTCTCTCTATAGTTTATTACTTAAAAATTAAAGATGGCTAGTATATGTAGCATTCAAGTAGCTTTGCACAAAATTCAAAAACCCAATAAAGAAATCCATCTGACGAAGAGCCAATAAAGGTTGTCAAATAAAACTTCAATCGCAATATATCCTTTTTTTGCTTTACTGATTGTGCTTATGTTTGAAATTTAAAAGTAAAAGTAATAAAAAAAAAATAATGTTTTTCTAGGTAAATATAGATGCAAAAGTTCCACACAGTGTTAGGTTACAGAGCATGTGTAGCAAAATAAATTAGGCATACATCTTGTCAAAGCTGTTATGTAACATAGTGAAGGTTATCATGATGAAAACAGCATAGTTGTTTGTGTAGATGTTACATTTAAACAGATGTCTGTAGGAATTAACAGTTATCAATAGACTATAATAACTGTTCCAAATGGGCCTGTATTCTATGTGATCTCAACCATTTCCAGCAAAACCTTTTTGGTTTGATCTACTCGCATGCTTTTTAAGAATTATAAATTATTCATTTGTACGATTAAATTGATTGTTTAATTCTAATTATAGCTGCACCTATATACAAAAAAAAAAGGTCATGTGTAACAGTCTAGAATGTTTTTCAAGAATTCAAAATAATAATTAATTAAAATTAACTGATGATCTCTCTTTCATTGGCTGACTTTAGATTTACTAAAACAAGTACCAAAACAAAGACTAACTTCCTATTTGACATTTCAAAACGTTTGATATATGTAGATCACCAAGCCAGAATGGAAGCCAGACTATGGTCCAGCTGAGTTCATATCAAGATGGGGAGCAACCATTTGTGGTGCCAGAAAGTTTCTGATTTCCTACAATGTTAATGTTTTGGGTACTAAAGAAAAGCATGATAGTCCATGACTGGAGGTCCAGCACAGTACAGTGATACTACCTGGTCTGCCTCTAGGTGGTCTTATGGAACATCTCATTTCTACAGAGCCTGTTGCAACTTAGATAAAGTATATTAGAGCAAGCAAGAAAAAATCAGACCAATACTTAGGTGGGTGAAAGAAGAAAAACCCTAGCAGTCAAATAGTAGCTGTAGTGTGAGAGAAGGTATGCATATCTTGAAATTATAATAATAATTAGAAATAAAATTGAATATTTTCGATCATATTTATTTTCTTTTAATTAAAATAGTTTCCCTCCTAAATAAAAAAACAAAACTACTCACCTGGTCAGCACCTCGTCCTTGTTCCCTGATATTTAACGCTATTCTATGAGCTTGAAAGCATAAGGGGATTCTGCCCATCCCTGCCAATCAGCAGATTGAATATATGAGGATCAGTTTGTTTTTTGAAATATAGGGAACTTGGTGCACCTATTGCACTGTATCCAGAGCATTGTTCCTCAGGACTTTCCATCATGCATTGCCCCACCCCCTTATTCTACTAGTGGAACAAGGGAATCCTTACCACTCCTGGTTTCCAGTCACTGGGGAGGTGGACAGAGTGTTCGAGTGACTTTCCTCCACTCGACTGTGCGGCTGGGTTGAGATGGCCCTTCATCGTGATCAATATTGGTTCAGTACATTGTTCATGTAAGAGGGGCCATTGTCTTCTCTTAATTCTGAACGTAGAGTGGCCCCATCCTGGATCCTTGGTTGAGCACTGTTTGTTCCACGTCCTCCCCATAATTTCGGGGTAAGTGGTTGGGGAATGAGAACGAGTGTTCATAATTCCAGACTGGATGTGTTGTGTTTCCTCTGGTTAAGAATGGCATACAGGATCCCGTCATTCCAACCGAGTTTGGGGTGTTGATTTTGGACTTCTTCAGGTGGAGGAGAGGATTTGTTCACTTAAGTGTTCCTTACCTTATCCTTGTGATTCTGGTGGCTTGGAACGTATCTCTATATAGCTGCAGGTTGGGATCCACTTACAAATATATATGTATATATTGTGGTCCAAATGCCCTAACCACCAACGTGGGATTTAGGGGCCATGGCCCTTTAATTCCAACCTGGTGCAGTGGAACCTCGGCTACCTGGTTGGGGCCTGGCCAATAGTGATAATAGATCACGTCAAATTCCACCTGCAATGCATGGTTTAGGTTCCAGGTAAAGAACACACCTGTTCTGGATGTATTACGATTCTCCCACTAGGGTGCTAATCTTCTATTGGCAGGACCACGATCTATGCAGATGCATTCTGTAGAGATAATGCCTTCACTGGCCCTTCCACCTTATAAATGTGGGATTCTAGCTGTAGTGTGAAAAGAGCTAAGTATGGTTTGGAAGTCAACATTTTCTTAAATCAAAAATGTATTTCCAGTAATACTTACCTCTTTTCACACTCTCCCACCCTTCCTACCCATTAAGAGCCGGTGTTAGAGATTGTGGACTGGGTCAGTCTCGAAAAAGTGACAATATTATCTGAAGGAGGTGCTTATATATACGGTACGAAGATAGAGGGTGCATTGACGTAGACGGAAAGTGTCACGAGACAGCTATCGCCAAGGGCATTTAAGTGGGGAATAAAAAACTGGACCAAGTGAGAAAAAAATCAGATCAAACGTCAATGCACCCTCTATCTTCGTAAGACGGAAAGTGTCGTGAGACAGCTATCGCTAAGGGCATTTAAGTGGGGAATAAAAAATTGGACCAAGTGAGAAAAAATCAGACCAGTGCTTAGATGGACAAAGGAAAAGAAACCTGAGCAGATGACTAATAGCTGTAGTGTGAGAGGAGGTAAGTATTACTGAAAATTCATTTTCGATTTAAGAAAATATTAACATACATTTATGTAAATTTAGAAAACTAATTGGGAATCTTGTTTTCTGATTTTACTTTGTTTTTTTTTTGTTTTGTGCACTATCACTTTATTTGGTTTTTCATTTTGTTTGTGTTCGTAGTATAGAAAAGTTGTCTGTTATCCATAAATTGTTTTTATGTGTTCAGAAACGCGTGTAGATATAACAAGAGATGTGCAATAATAGTGTTTAAACTTTGACATAATTGTCCAACTCCAGCCTGTGAACATCTAGACAGCCACAGTGTTGTCTATAGGCATCTTTTGTTTTGTTTGAAATCAGATAGCTACTTTGATTATTCCGTCATCATGTTATGTAAATCTTTATATGAGACAGTTTTCCTCTAATGAAGTTTTAAAGTAACTGAATGACTATACTATACATAAGCAAAACTTGTACAGTGTTGATAACTGTATGATTAAATCCCTAGGAGATATAATTAAAACAATGTTAAATGAAATAAATTTTTTCAGCCACAACTTTGACAAGTTCCAACATGTTTTGAATAATGGAAAATGTGCTAACAATACCACTTTTAAATAATAAAATATTTGTTCATGTCAAAAGTTTAAAATGTTTAAAATACATTTGTTTCCTTCTTTAATAGCCAGGTTGCCTCAAAAATTGTCAGGGTATTGGTTGGTGGTTAGATGAAGCCAACTTGGCCCAGGTATCCCTGAACCTCACAGATCATGATGCTACTCCCATTCATACTGTTTATGAAGAGGTAAGTTAATTCACTATTATTTAATGTTTGTTTTATTTGAAGGTCATCTGACATAAGTGTCATTACCAAATACTTCTAACACCCACACATTTTTAATGGGAAGTTTTCATTCTGTTTGGTTTTGTTTTCAGTTTTTTTATTTACAAACTCTTTATTTACATGTAAATATATGCCAGAAAATCTGAACATTTTCTCAGAAAAAGTATTTAGAGGCACTTATACCAGAACTTCTGTAATACACCAATGATTATTTGCCACCAAAAAATAAATAAACATGATACTTACAATATAATACAAAATTATTATTTGGAAGCCAGGTGGCTGTATGCTTTTGTAACACTCAGGTTATCCTAAGTATATTTCATTTACTATTTTTAGTAAAGACTGAACAAGTATTTGTAATTATGGATCCATATTTGTAGGTTTGTAAACATGCTCAAGACCTAAGAATACCAGTAACAGGGTCTCAGATCGTCGGTTTAGTTCCCTTGCGTGCTATGCTTCAAACAGCAGAATACTACATTAAAAAAGAAAACCTGTTTATATTGGAAGAAGACCAAAAAGTTCATCTTGTAAGTATATTAGATGAATTGTTTTAGTAAGTGTTTAGTTGTTAGTTTTAATGTAATCAGGATAGATTTTTCAGAACTACCACTAGAAATCTTCAGTTGATTAATAGTGCTTTTATATAACTCATTTATTAAGAAAAATATGGTTCTTTTATTTAATTTTATACTTAGGTTAATATACTTCTCCATATTTAAATACCCCCCAGCAGTACAGCTGTATGTCTGCAGATTTGCAATGCTAGAAACCTGGTTTCGATACCTTTGGTGGGCAGAGCACAGACAGCCCATTGTGTAACTTTGCACTTAACTTCAAACAAACAAACCATATTTAAATATATACTTAAATTTCCTTTTTTCTTTTCGTATTGTCATTAAATAGTTTGTTTTTTATTAAGGTGTGCTCTTTCTGTTACCTGTGTACATACATTTATTGTTGCAATCAATTTTTCTTCATTAGATTTGTTTATTACAGACTATTTTTTAGAAAATTATTATATTGTTAGTTTATTTTTATGTAACAGTCTTACTAGTTTAGAAATACTTTGTTTTAAAGAAATACACAACTTTTTAAATTTTAGGCAGTCAACAGACTTGGTCTAAACTCGTTAGGCCATTTTAACCCAAAAGAAAAAATAATTGAATATAGGCTTCCTGACCAACGTGTGGGCCCTCTGGCCAAGAAAACTGTACAAGAGTTTATTACAGCAGTTGCAGCACGGACACCAGCACCAGGAGGTGGATCAGTTGCTGCTGCTGTTGCTGCTATGGTATGTCGTTATGTCTCTAATAACTCATTCTATAATATTATGCAGAGTATAAAGAGTAACTCTGTTATTAAGCTTTTGGTTCATACTGAGATCGAGTGGATGAATAAAATATACAAAAAATTTCCTATACAAAATCTCAGATGTTTAAAATTAGATATTTCACTGTTTTGTTTGTGTTGGCCTCGGACAAAATATTGACTTAAAATTTATTTTTCTGATGACTGTTAGATTCTAAAAAAGAATATTATATGTACAAGTTCTTCTCTTTGCCAATTGTCAAAATAAATGGATTTTTACCTATATTTCTTAATAGTATATATATATTATGTTGTTGTTGGGCTTAGGATTCTTCTATAGTAGGTGTCTGTGACTAGTTAGTGATAAATTCAACAATGAATAAACAGCACACATTTTACTTGTTATCAAATAATATATATTCGGAACAAGTTAAACGTATGTACAACAAAGTCTTCACACTATAGAGATTACAAGCATATCATAAACACTATTTATATATAGTTCTCTTTTTCTTGTCAAAAGTCCACTTAGGCCTATAAAATTACTCTAGAATTTCAGTTGACAAGTCGAACTATCTTCTCTATATTACTATCATACTAGTATTCTGTGTGTTATTCACTTACAGTTGTGGCAAAAGTTATCATAATTCGTTTGGTCTTCTTTCTTCTGAAGATCATCTGTTTCATTTATCAAAGTGCACCCAAGCTGCTTCAATTACTTTAGAACCATGCTTTAACGGAATAAAATCATCCTTCTTATCTTTTTTTATACTGTTAGTTTCACGCTAACATATTAAACGTTAAGCCTTTCACATCTATGGTACTTAACTTCACGCCAACTTTATTTTCTTTCGCTATTATCTGTCTGTCTTCCCACTCATCTCACGCTATTTATATCTATTACATAGTCGTCTGGCCACTTTCTATATTCTCTACACCAATTAGTTATTAACAAAACCTTCTTCAATTGTCTGCTTTTAACTATTATTATAACAAAACTTAAAAATAATAAAATATTTACTCAAAAATGTAAATTAATCACTAATATTTAAATCAGTCTTTTATATCATGAAAATAACAAAACTCCATTTCAAATATTTGAGCTTTGCTGGTGTTGTTCTATTAGGTGATTTCCTTTTACCATTCAGCTAATTCATTTTGTGCTATACCATGCCATCTGAATATGGGTAGTTAACAGACTAGGTTACTGATAATTAAAATTTGGAAGAGATCAGTATTCTACATTTAATAAGTTGTGTTTTAACATTTAGGGATCTGCCCTAGGAGCAATGGTAGGTCAAATGACTTATGGTAAAAGACAATGGGAGATGTATGATGCCCATATGAGAAAACTTATTCCTGTTCTGCACAACACTATGAAAGAACTGATTACTCTCATTGATTCTGATACAACAGCTTTCAATGACTATATGGTAAGTATTTCTAAGTCTGACATAATTCATTTTGTTTGTTTGGGCTTGGAAAATAGTCTTTATTTACCTGGCTATTATATAATGTTCATAATGTTTTAGTTTGAAATTATATCAAATAATTACCATTTTTCCTTTGAGATTCAAAATATTCAACACCACTTACTTCTTTTCTTTTTTATGTACTATTTATTAGTAAGATTAATTAATTCTTTCATTGAATATTTTATTATTTTGTATCAGGGTTCCTGCAGAGCCTATAAAAGTCTGTAATTGGTTTTTGTATTTTCAAGGCCTTGAAAATCTTAAAAATCTGAAATTGATCACAGGCCAAAATGAAACATTCATCCTTTAAGTAGATCTACAAGTGTAACAAAACACATCATATTAACCCTTTCCAGATGGGTCACGAGTCAAAGGCCATGTCATTACATTTGTTGACTCGCATTCAAAATTTTATTGAACTACTATTTCATGAATTTATGTCAATAAGTTTGGTATCAAACTGTAGATTATATTTCAAATTTATGTATTATACATTATTCAATTTCAGAATTTAAAATTAAATATTAACAAAACAGTTAAACATCAATTTTTTTGTGTCGTGTATCATGTTGAATGCATCACTGGTTCGAATTAGATGTTTGTGATGTCAAAATGTCTATAGTTTTGAATGAATTAGGAACTCAAATTACCAATATTGACAAGCTGGAATATAAAATAAGAGCCTCTTATCTTTTCTATTTGCTGACATAACACTCGTGTACTGAATCAAACACAGTGGCCCCTGCCCACCTCTTTCCATTTTTGTAAACGGTCCCTTATATACACTTCTATATATGACATGAATAACCAATTTAAAGCTTAGAATGTCCCTTAGTGGCATTCTCAGCCATTTTAAATTGTTAGGACGTCATCTCGTTCTCTCGAACCAAGATTTCAAGGAAGTAGGTTGTCTTTAGTCTGCTTGAAATTCCATTTTTTTTAGACTGAAATACAGCTTAGTTACCAAGCTTGATAAATTATAGTGGAATTCTATGGTAATGATATAATAATTTATGATTCTTTGATTATTCAACTGGATATATATATACAACTTAAAAATTTTTTATTTAATTTCATATCCTCCACATGCAAAATTTTAAAAGGCTTAACAACCTACGTCAAGCAGCAACCGAGTACAAAGGTCATAACTAGTAGAGATAATTGTTTGCTTTACTTCTTTATTTACTATTCTGTGTTTTAAGAAAAATAAGTTTAAAAACTTATTTCTAAATAGCAATAATCTATATACATATATAATGTATAACAATGGAAATGTGACTGTATTTTACAAAATACCAGTCTACTAAAACATAGCCAAGACAGGTCACCTGTATGTTATTTGATCGGTAACATGAGTGCACATGAGTCATGTCACTGTAACTTCTCTATTGTTAACTAGGCACGGGTGAAAGGTCAGTATACTAAAAATAGTAAATATATATAAATGTATAATGTTATGAGATTTAAGCTATTTTGTTTAAACATTTATGTTTTCGTGTTATAATTTGTGTTCATTCTAGAAACTATAACAAGCACAAAATGGTTACGAGGTTGGTCCCGGGTACTGAGCCTGTGTTAAGAGAGTTAATATATGAAAAATGCGCATTGTTGTTAAGCACATTGGTATTAATTTTAAATGCATTAAATATTGAATATGTAACTTATAGAGGCATTTAAACAGTTCTTTATCATACTTTTTTTCTTTTTTTATCAGTTTGCTGTGAAAATAGGTCTCTAAATTATCTAAGGATTAGTCTTAAAAGGTCTTAAGTTTGATCAGTTTGGAACTGCAGGAACTATGCATTCTGTCATAGAGCAGTGGAAATAAGACTAATTAACTTTTGAAATGGCTGTAAACATTCACAAAGATCATTCAGGGCAGCCTGACTTGCAACACGAGATGATTTATCAACATAAGGAAACTTTCTCATATAAATTTAATATCATTTCTAGTGTTTACACTTAAAGGGGGTACTTGAAAGACTGGTGAACTTTATTGTATATCTAATATCATGTCCATTTTCAAACAAGACAGCATATTTTCTCTACTATAGAATTTGATTATCCAACAAAATTACTTTTACAGCACTTTAAGTCTTCTGAAATGTTGAATTACATAATATGGATTGGTTTTTCTAATCGAAACAGAAGTAAGTATACATTTATTTGTGCAATAAAATACTTTTTCAGTCTTGTGTATCTTGCACTTATAGAGCCACTGATATTTTGTAGTATTTCCTTTTTTGTACTACACTTACTGGCTACTTAGTTAGTATGGCCAGGTGGTTAGGGCTCTTGACTCGCAATCTGAGGGTCATGGGTTCGAATCTCCATCCCAGCAAACCCTTTCAGCCTTGGGGGCATTATAATGTGACTATCAATCCCACTATTTATTAGTAAAAGAGTAGTCCAAGAGTTGGTGGTGGGTGGTAATGACTAGCTGTCTTCCCTCTAGTCTTACGCTGCAAAATTAGGGATGGCTAGTGCAGATAGCCCTTGTGTAGCTTTGCGCAAAATTAAAAACAAACAAACAAACATAGTTAGAACCCCCACAATATTGTGAGGTGTCTGTTTTTTTTTTTTTTGTACTTCATGTAATTACCCATGAAGTTGTGACTGTTGTTTTTTGTATTTTTTGATGCATATACATGTATACGTGTTCCAAATTACTTTTATTCTAAAAAGTAAGTCATAACCACAGGTATTAAGTTGCTTGAAATGTAAGTATCTTTTTTTTATTCACATAGGCAGCTATGAAATTGCCTAAGAACACACCAGAAGAAATAGTAATGTAAGTACTTGTCTATTTTTTACATTAAGTCAAAGTAATATTGCCAAAACTGTTTTTTGTTATAGAATAAAGAAATATTAGGTCATCAAGTGAAGGGAGTTTCTGTTGAAGGGCTTGATTTAAACGTTCCAGTTGCTGACTATAGATCTCTGCATTGGCAGTTTGCTGTGGATTGAGGAGTTCGAAATGATTTACTCCTTTGATGTCACACCAAATGCAAAGCATCACTTCCTCCGGATGGAGTCCAGGTTTTGGGGTCGGAAGTGGTTTTCATCTAGAACTGAGCCATTGTTTTTGGCGTTTAATATTCACGTAGAGAATCCATTTTTCATTACCAGTATTAATTATGTCCGAAAATGGTTCACGCTCATTATACACCAGAAAAGACGAAGCAACGTTCACACGTTGGAAACGATGATCATCGGAGAGTTCATGAGGCACCCAAACACCTTCTTTATGGAGTTTTCCCATATTCCTTGGATGTTTACGTATTGTTTCATGAGAGACATGGAATTTCAGGGTTATTTCACAAGTGTGTTGCCTTGGGTTAGACTCAACAAGCGTCTTCAGAGCATCAATATCAATTTCAACATGTTGGCCCCTGCCATCACAGTTTGTAAAGCTAAAGTCACCTGAACGAAATTTCCTGAACCATTTTTTAGTACCTTCAGTATTTGTATTCATCTGTCAATATTACAGTATTACTTTAGTGACACCTGTGTTTTTATTTATCTATCAGTATGGTTTTAGTAGCTTCAGTAATTGCATTCACCTGTCAGTATTGTTTTAGTAGCTTCAGTACTTGCATTCATCTGTCAGTATTGTTTTAGTAGCTTCAGTACTTGTATTCATCTGTCAGTATTGTTTTAGTAGCTTCAGTACTTGTATTCATCTGTCAGTATTGTTTTAGTACCTTCATCTGTCAGTATTACAGTAGTACATTAAATATTTGTTCTAGAAGAGAGACAGCTATGGAGGCTGGTTTGAAGAAAGCTATTGAAGTACCAATGAGCCTCGCAAGACATGTCAACAAAGTCTGGGAGGCAACAAAAGAACTTGCCACTTTATCAAACATAGGCACAAAATCAGATTTACAGGTGAGGCTTTAATGTACATTTGTTAAATAACATTTGACAGGAGTAACAGTCTTGTATTATGTGATGTTATTTTAATCTTATGGAAGGGATTGACAGACGTAACTTTGAAATTGGTTTGGAATTGCAGGGTTAAATGTGTATAATATAAAATAATTTTGTTTACATACATGGTAGCAGGGCTCAAAATTAGCAGTAGCTAACTTGTAAAATCCAGTGGCTTTGCATTTAGCCAATGACCATCCAGAACACGTGCATTTATTTTTCCTAGTTAATAGTCAGATGTGATTCTGAATATAAAGAACAGTCATTAACAATGGGCAAAATTGTTTTTAAAAAAAGCTGCCTTTAAGCACAACATTTATCTAAAATACATACTACAATAATCTGTTGATAAGCCTCTTCCATTGTGCATTGTTTTTGCATATCTTTGTGAAATTCCCCAAATTTAAAGGAGTGTTTAAATTTTCTTATTGTGTGTGTGTGTTTTATTTCTTATTAGGAAATTAATTATTAAAACAAATGTATATCTAGAACTTAATATTATATTACAAAATATGAAATTTAAAATGTGATGTTTTTTCAACTACTAGTTATACCTCTGTTTAAGATCATGCAACTTGAGATTTTTTTTTTACAGAATGGTTGACACTTATGTGACTAAATTTTAAACTAACTGGCAAACATTTGTCAATGGTCAAACAAGTTATTTTCCCCCTCTTTCATGATAATTATGAACTAATAAGTTTGAAATGTAATGTACTTTCAGCATGTTTTGTATCAACAAATAAAACTTTTTTTAACCAACATTTAACGGAATTAGCATGCACTTTACATTGGATAAACAGGGAAATGTACACTTGTAGCTCTTATTAACAGTGATAGACTAGGTTAGCAGACATTAATAACTGTCCAAGTCACCTGTCTCACAGGAATGCGTGTGAAAACAGTGCAAATAAAAAATAAAAAAAAGTATAAGAAAGTACTGAAATTTGTAAAAAGGAGAATATTTTTGCCTACATTATTTGTAATACAAAGCAAAGTCCCTCTTAAACATTTATTTTCAAGCATCTCAGTTCCATTTCATAGAACGTTTTAAGTTTGTCAATTGTTTTTCCTACAAAACAAATCGTGCATTATGGCAGTGTGGCTGTGTTGACCATATACAATCTGCATGCTAGGCTCATGTGACCTAATCAGTGCTGTATACCAGTCAAATATTGATTGTTGTTCACTCATTTTTTTTGTCTTTTATTTCCTTTTCCTTCATGCAGAAGTCATGAAACTTAACACGATTTTGTAAACAACAATCTAGAAAGCAGTTAAAACTTTTATGAAATATGTGCCCATGATTTATGTAATTTTGGCAATTATAACTGAAACATTGATTCAACATATTTTGTAGTAAATTGAACATCCTTTTTAATTACTTGTTTATTTATTAGTTAGTGAAAGAAGTATTGACTGAATGAGTTAGTGAGTTAGTTAGTAAGCTAGTTGGTGAGTTAAGACATTAATGAATTATTCATTGAGTGAGTGAGTTGGTCCATTAGATAATAAGTTAGTTGGTGACTTAATGAGACAGTTAGCTAGTCAGTTAGTTAATTAGTGCATAAGTTAATTAGTCACTGACTAACAACTCACCCAACAACTAACTCACTTATTAAGTTCATTTGTTAGTGAGTGAGTTAACTAATTAGTGTGTTAGTTACAGAGTCATTGAGTGGATTACTTAGTAGGTGAGTTATTTCTCCACTGCTTTATCAAATCTCTATGGATTGGGGTTTATTTTATGGTATTGGGCCCTCCTCTTTCTTTATCTGTCTGGATTGATTCTTTAACTTTCTAATATACTTCATGTGAATGTAGTTGATTTCTTTTTCTTATTGTAATTGGTGTAAACCAACAAACCTTGTTCATACCAGCTTTATGTGATTGGCCTTTTTGGCAACAAAGTACACCTTTGTGGTTACTGACATGCTTTTATAACTCTATTCTTACAGGAAATCTTTATTAGACCTATAAAGAATGATTTCTTTTAGATTATTGCAAACCCATCATTAAGTTTGATAATATTTTGACACACTGTTATACCCTCTTTTTAGTGGATCTCAAACAGCCAATAGGGAAGTGAATTGAGGAATTTCTTATCTGATGTCATATTATGCCTATCACTATTGATGGATGAAGCCCATCCAGTTCAGGGGATTATGTTCATCAAGTAAAGATGAAAACACTTTTCTTATCGTTAGCTTATTCTAGGCCAGATCAGAATTGCAGTTGCTATAATTCTTGATTTTCTTGTGTATTTTCACACCAAAATTACCCAGTTTAGTTATTAGACACAATAAAGTAGGAATTGTTTTAATATTCTATTTCTACTTAACACTCGTTCTGTGTTATGAAAAGGTTAAATTGTTGTTCTGTGTTTATGCTGTTTTTCAATCATTAAACACGCAATGATCATAGATCATATTTTCTTAACAAGAAACTCGGATTTCTTTCACAACTCTCAAATTCTTGGTTCTTTTAACTGTATGCAAGTGTTGTGTCTTTGGAAATCTGCTGAGACCATTATTATATAACCTAAAATTACCCTTTGGAATTTCACGTTGTGACTTGAAGCATATTTTTAATTGATACGCTTTGCCCGCACCTATACTATAACTTTATACCAAAGTTTGTCAATTTTGAGAGGAGAGGGGTCTACCTTGGTTATTTCCTTTGCGATACCTGTTTTGGTGTTAAAGGATGGTTGTTCAGATTCTGTCTTTGTCCATTTCAAGATATACAGAACTCTTTAGAAATTGTGTGTATGTTTTGCAACTTGTTGGGTATTGGGGTTTGTGTTTCTCTTCCTATAAAATACTTTAAGCATATGTTACAGTAAGGAATATCTGTAAAAGTGTTTCCATATTCACTCCTGTCAATTAATATAGGTGTTCTCCATGGCTATGGCACCTTAGTTCCTCTGAAACATCGTTTAAGAGAGGGCATATGAAGGGCATCCCACTCCTTCACCGTTATCTTCATCATGTCCAAATTTCTTTTGAGAATGGAATTAACCTACATTTACTTCTTGCTGCCCAGAGTACAATTCTTTGATATTAGAAAGAGGGGGTCTCTTATCTCCTAGGCAACCTTTCTTCGTATCTCTGCCTTGGATTGCGGTAACCTGCTGGGAAAACATTGTTCCTGGGGCCTCGAGGTCTGGTTTGTTCAGGACATCTTTGTTACATCCTTAATCTCTAGGGTATTGTCCACTTTCAGTTGTCTGATTCTGTGACTTACCCTAAACCTGAATTTGGCATGTCCACCATAAGGTATGGATGACATGCCACATTTATGATCATTATTTCCATTTTACACAGGGTTTGTAGACTGCCTAATGCCATGGGCCCTGAAAAGTGTATGTATAAATGAACTGCTTTATGCATCATGCCCCCTCTTCTAGATCTAGATTCACCTCTAGTCATCAGCTATGCACATGCCATTTAAACAGTTTTTGAGGTTGACCTTCTGAGAATATTACTTCTTCCTCTTACCCAGAATTTTCAGTTTCTTCATTCTGTCCCGCCTCCACTGTGATATGGGAATTCTAGGTAAATTTTGTAGTAGCATAATATAGTGCAGTATTTGAAATTAACATTTTACTAGTAAGATGTACATCAAAGAGATATTTATCTCAACTACTAGAGTATACTGATTCTACTCACGTCTCCACACCACAAGACTATTGGAAAAAATGTGATAGTAGGTTCTGGTAGTGATACGTAGGTGTAAAGTCACATGATGCTGTGTGACTGTTGGTGATTGCCTGACATAACTATGTATTTTCCATGCAAGAGTTCTCAGAGATGTGGGAGAAGTAGAAAGGGGAATAAAAGATCCATTAATGTTCTAAAGCCAAAAGAAAACAGCTAAATGCTATAGTAAATTGCATTTGAACTACATTTACCTACTGAAATGTTAAATTTAAGGTGTGTCATTAAAACAAATAGCTTATAACCATTTTATGATTTCTTTACAGAATATAAATTATTTCTGTATATCACATGAGTTAGTAGAGGAAAAGAATCCTGACCATTGCATTTACTGTAATATTAATTTTTGAATGTATTTACAAATCTTTGTACAGTATTATTGATCTTGCCATCTTTGACAACATTAACATTTCATTTAAATTATCCTTTTCTTGTTTTCTCAAGTTATTTACTTTTCTTTAATAGAATATTTAGTTCAATGCAAGAGTTACTATTTACTTTGAACATCTTATTCGGTAAGTGATACAGTTGAATAACTTGTTTGTGTACCGTAACTGTCAGGTCGGTGTGAAGTGCCTGGAGACAGGACTTTTGGGGGCCTACTGGAATGTCACAATTAATATGGAGGGTGTGAAGGATGAGATTTATAAACAAAAGGCAAGTTTTTGTGTGTTTTTTCCTAATAATAATTAATATGTTTTGAAGTTGTTCTGATGTAATATTTTTTTATAACAGAAAGATTTGTCAGATTTGAAAATTCTTACAGTTAAAGAGTGCATGATTTCTATTACATAGTTTTTCATTTCTTATGTTAATTTAGTAGGAAAATAAAAGTTGGACTTAAGCTACATTGTTTTCAAAAAGATTATTTTTTTAACAGAGTGGTAGACCTTTGGAATAGGTTGCCTTCAAATGTGGTAGATGCAGTTAATTTAAGGCAAAGCTTGATAAGTATTTGAACAATAAGGACTGGGTTTGAGTGTTTTATTTTTACAGTTTTATATAATGGATGGGATGGCCTAGATAGATCAATAGGTCCCTTGTCCTTAATTTGTATATATGTGTATGTATACATCTTTAGTAGGTGCTGAATGCCAGAGTTGAGCATATTGGTAACCTTTCTGTAAAGTGATGAATTACAGGTGGTTAAATGGAGAATTTGTCTGGAAGGGTTGGTTGAGTTCATTGAAAATGCAATTATTTACATTGAATATACTTATATCTAGTCAACATTGTAGTGAGACTAAAGTTAGCTAGGTATCTGCCTGTTTTAACCATGCTTTAAACATATGATAATCCAGCATTTTGTTGATCCTGACAACATCTGTCATATTTCAAAACCATCTTTCACTACTAGCTGTTACTCCATATTTTTAAAAGCTATAAATGTTTATTATGTAAACACTGAGAGTACAAAAAGTATGTGTATTAAGTGGGTAACAGCCTTAAAGATTTCAAGAAACTTTAAAAAACTCCATGATCTAGAATCATTAACAGCTAAAAACTAAAGACTACTTGTGGCTACTTCTAAAGTTCTTTTGGTTTATGTTTAACATGGCATTTAAGATGTTACATATACTACTGTGATTGAAAATATGCAATATCTCATCATAAAGATTATCAACGAAGGACTACTTGTGGCTACTTCTAAAGTTCTTTTGATTTGAGTTTAACATGGCATTTAAGATGTTACATATACTACTGTCAGGAACGTCGAGAGCTAGCACGGGCCCCCTTTCTCTCTCTCTCTTTTTTAACATTTTCAAGAATTTATTAAAAGGAAGATCCTAAATTAGAACAGCAATGAGCTCATAAACCAGACAAAATCATAGCAGCAACCGTTTTTACCTCGCAGCATAAGCGTAAAAACGTTTATAAAGTAACAACAGTATAAATCTATAAAGTAACAAATACATATTAATTATTACTCAAATTATTATTTCAGTCGTT